TATACACGTGTATACTACATATAATTACTGTCTATCCTTGAACTATCCTCTTTGCCAACAGATTGATTGTGCACATTACAGCTGGCGACACGAAACGCATAAGACACGCAGGTAATGCAAGTCACTTTTTATCCCTGTGGATTCTTTGGCCAGCTTCGAGCCGAAGCCGTGCCGAACAAATGCGAAAAGTGATCCTCCAGAATATGTCCTACGGACATTTAAAGCATCCCACATCCAGGTGTAGGTCTTTCGGAACAAAACATTTATGTGTTCTTAGCAGCTTCTTGTTACTAATAGCAATGGCCTCCACCTAATAGCGTCCTTGTTCCCAGTATCTGCTTGCAAACCTTTACTTTAAGATTCACTCAGTAATGGTGCCAATCTCGATCAGAACTTTGCCGGTGGCACGGCCCTTCTCCAAGTACTCATGGGCCTTGGCAACTTCGTTAAGACTGAAGGACCGATCCTTAGCTGCATTGTGAAGAACACTTTTGAGGATTCTTCGCGCATGCATGCATGCATCCTTCTGCATGTCCAAGAACCTCAATTTGCAGAATAACATGTGCTTTACTAGCATACCTTGTGGCTACACCTTCCAAACATTTTGCAAGCAGGTTCAATGCATTTGTCCACGACATTTGAGCACACCCCCAAAGGCATTCTAGTTTTTGACTGTCGGCTCGAAGGCTGACAAATGGCTGGGACATACCAGCCACTTCTCCTCACTATGTGAACCAAATATTGCAACCATCGACAGCCACACTTCAGATTAGGAAGGGACCCAAAGAAGTCGGTTGGCAGGTCTTCTGAACTAGTTCAACATTATTACATAAAGCCACGATGGCCGAATAATGCCGTATCTTGGTACGAACTCAACTGGAGAAAAAACATCACCAATCTGCAACGCAAGTAAGGATCCAAACAAAGCACACACCCCGTCTTCTCCCCTAGTGAGTTTAACTGGCATGTAAACGATCCCATTAATGTAGTCAATTGCAGCTTTGAAACATCATCCAACATCCCAAAAGCTTAAGAAGTAGTTCACAAAGTTCACACAGCAGTTCTTGGTACCAGTGCCAATCTGGAATCAAAACATGTATATAACCAGTTTTAATATTGAAGATCAATGCCCCAAGCATCCACAAGCCACGCGCCCTTTTGACAAAATTTTTCAGACAGGAGGCTACCACAGGCTTGATCAGGCCTACATGGCACACTCATGTCTTCCTACAATCTACCCTGGGCCTCTAGTCGGTCAGTAGTGCGGCACAAAGTACCTTTGAAATCCCTGCTGCCTTCGTTTACCCAGCTGGCAATGGAACGCAATCCTTGTGCATCTGGACTTACTGGATCACAATGGTAGTGTATACCAATTCCTTGGTGCAACGTGCCCTTGCCCAGCCCTTCTGATACGCATGTATATGCATGTATATACTGAGACAAAAGCCGAAGAGATCCGCAATGAGGCTATAACCCCACTTCCTGGCAGTGGCATGAAGGAACAGGTGCAAGACAAAAGCATGGATGGATGCTCAGGTCCAGCCTGAGAAAGGGCAATACCATTAAAATCAGTGGATTCTCTTCCCGACTGTTGGGCTGCCAATCGCTGCTTAGCACATGGATGTAGTGCCCTTCACCTGGCCAAAGCGCCAAAGGATGCAAGAGCATCTTGAAAAACTGTTTCCCATGTTGGACAGTAATGGAAGTTGTAGAAAACACATTTTTTTCCTGAGCAACCGGATTTCTGCAACTGCCACATCGCTGTGCCTCCGGACTTCAACACGCTGGAAGACAATGTACGTTGCTCGTACTCCTTCAGTTTGGAGCCGTAATGGAGCAGCACTAGTCACTAGTTCCATCCTTCATGGATTGGGTGGCATGTGGTTTACTGATCTATGTCTATGAGTACACCTTGGCCAGAAGCAGTTGTTGTACATTGTACAGTATACAAGTGACGAACAAGAGTATACGAACTGCCTGTGCCACGGTGTCCAACACCACGTCAAAGTTCTTGACGACATCTTCAAATTTTTGTTCTTTGTAGTTCACAACTTCGTCAGCACCCAAACCTCAGCTGTGATGCTCTCAAACTGGAAGCCTCTGCAAGCTCTCAAGCACAAAGTGAGAATTCTTCAAAGCAAGCAGCTTTTCACCAACACCGCTTTCGGAGCGCTCACGGTAGTTGCCACGTGCATTTTGAGCCTCCCATAGATTCAACTGTAATGTCCACTAGTGCAACGACTGCAACGATACTGCAAGTGAGTGAACACTGTGAACACGACTTAGTTTGCTGGAAAGCTTTGAGCTAAATATCGAAGTTGATTCAACGTGTGTAAGGTTGCTGTCTTGATTCGCACTCTAATCACAAAGTTACATGGCACCTGCCCAAGTGCACACAAGTCACACTTTCTGCGAGTCAAGCCAAGTGGCACATGCTTGCAGTACTGGATTGCGAAGGAACCCACTCCTCCGGCTCCTGCGTGCACAAGGATCTTTTTGTCTTTGCTGCTCTGGCCCTGCTTCTGCCATGCTCGTAGGACGGGTGCCATTGCATGAATGGTGGTCAAGCCAACCAAGGGCAACCCAGCCGCTTCTCTGGCAGAGATCTTTGTTGGCGCATGGGCAATGATAGTGTAGTTTGCCACGACATACTCCTGAAAAGCACCCCAGGACTGTCCTTGCAAAGGCAACATACCATATACAATATCGCCAGGTCTGTATCCCAGTACACCACTGCCAATCTGTTCAACATGACCTGAAAAGTCAAAGCCAGACACGACAGGCAAAGCCCTGGTCATATTGATATTGGCATTTCGGCGCATTTTGAAGTCAACTGGATTCAGGCCACCAGTTCCGACCTTGATCAAGACCTGTGTCATCTCGCAGCATTGTGGTCGAGGAATGGTGCGTGTCTTGATGACAAATGGCTCCCCAGTCTCACTAAATTGGGCTGCACGCATTGTGTGGTCTTTGTCCTCCAAAGCAGGCGCATACCTGCATGCAACACACTTAAAAACCGGCTTTGCTGCGCGGCTGCTTTTGCTTGCTGAAACATCGTGTCACAAGTGTTTCTATTCTTTTCTAAGCAGACTTACACCCAAGCGCACACCTGTTCTACCTGGGAGGAATATGGGATCCAAGACAAATCAGCTTTGAGGGACCATACAGTACTCAATGTCAGAATTGCAGGCCCGCCTGATATAGTTTTCTCGCAAGAGGTAGAATTCGTAGATCAAAACTCCCAGAACGGCTGCCAAATTGAAACACAAAACCTTTGCTATGGGCCAAAAGAGTGCCATGGCTCTAGTGAGGCTTGGCAGCTGGTTTGTCCTTTGTGTCTCCTTGGGCATTGGGTGTATCCAAAGGTAATTAAGTCCCACATCAACACGCAGCACACACATTGCAAACAGGCTAACAGGGGATGAATTGTTGTGCCGAGTTTAAAGCGTGAGTAGGCCAGGCCCAAATGAAACGCACCCACGACTTGGTGTTTTCATATGGTTTCATCAAGCACAGTAGCACTCGCTTCAGAGCGTGAAATGCAACCTTCACTTGAATCTTTGAATAAAGCGCCGGAGAGTTCACAGACAGTTGACCATTGCAAGCATATGTCAGTCGCCAGCAATTATGTAAGTGTTTAGAATCACAACCTCATGTGATGTCAGACTCTGCGGACACTCATTTAGGGACAAACGGTGAAGAAGGCGACCTATCTGCTTCCCAAAAGGGAAGGCCTGCAAAAGGGCAAAAGGGTAAAATATGGTAATGGTAAAGCTATCATTATTCAAGTTCCTCAAATGCACTGAAGACCAATGCCAACATGAGCAAAGAATAACTGACCTTCTGCTCCCTCGCTCAAATCTTCGTCTGCGGCATCCTACAGTATTCAATCACAAAGCTCGATGAGGTCCAAGGTCCATGCCATGGACTGCATTCACGCCAGTTCGGGCATGAGATGTCTGGCTCAAGGTTCCAACCTCGTCTTCATCATCCTTCTCTTCAACGGCAGAGCTTGTTCGATTCACCTTCCCATTGAACAGTACTTAAACAAACATATAACAAGATATAATTCAATGGCTTGTCAAACGGCATGAGCAGAATTCGTAGCTCATCGTGGCTCCTCCACGCCATCTGAACCACTGTCCAAGAGCTCAGGCAAATCCACGCCGACCTGGCTGTTCCCATACAAGCCTGGGTTGTACATCCCAATTTAACATAATTTAACAATTTCCCTTTCTAGCTTCACTTTTCTCCATTCTAGCCAGCACACCAATTTGGAGCACTGTGCGGAGTTGACTTGAGAAGGGCTTTGTGCAGAGCCTTTTTGAAGATTTCCTCTTAGTCGGGCCCATCTTTGAATGCTGATCCCTCGTGAATGTTTGAACCCACAGGACCAATCTAGCCATCAGGGATGCCTGCGCGCTCCGATGTCTTCTCTTCTTTGAGTGGGAAGAAGACGTGATACCCCAACGGAGGAAAACAAACAAACATCACGCCATCATCCAAATCACCACTACTGTAAACACCAATCTGTGTAGCAACTCCTGGCCCACTGGCCTCCGTGGGAGTTTCAGATGGTGGTCGTGTAGACGTCTCCGCCTTGCACTTCGACAGCAACATGTGCAGTGCAAAGATCGTTTGAATGACAGGCATCTTGCCTGCTCCGGCATTTTGGCACAGCCTTCAAAATCCCACATCTTACTTGCTCTCACTTTAAGCAATTGAACAACACAACACATAGCAAACATATGCAAACATCAAATTTTGCTGTTCCGCCTGGATCTGCACAGGTCATCTCTGAGGTCATCCTGTGTTAAATTTGAAGCAGTAGTCAAATGTGCGTGAGAATGAGATACGGATAGAGAATATCCTAGAATTGTTAGGTGCAAGGTCAGGAGGCTCCTTTGGCTAGCTGTCGAAGACAGCAACCATCATTTTGCCTTGCAAATATTCACTCTCTCAACTTGCCACAACTTTTTGTGGAAGGCAGGGAAGACTTGGACACCTCGTGGCTCAATGGCTGGGAAGGACGTGAAGCTCAAACCAGTTGACCCGTTTGAAAGAAAATTGCATAGCGGTAGCGGCATGATGCGGCATGAATCTCATGCATGGCCCAAGCGACATTCATGACAACCAAAAGGCTGTTCCATGGCTTCTTTCATGTGGCTTATCATCTGTACGCACAAGGCCAGTACCAGTACAGTAAATATTGCGAAAAAGCGTACACTTTGGCCCTCAAAGAAACAAAACCCCTGGTGAACGTGTCAGAAGTTCAACGTCTAAGTAAGAGTCTGAGAAACTCATTTTTTGCCGGATGTCACCTTGCTGGTTGGGTGAAGCAGCTCAAACCCTCACACGCTATCTACCTTCACATGTCGGCAGCCCCTTCTGAACTGGACACGACTGCAAGTTCTAGGGACTGCTATCAAATAGGAAAGAGGGTACTGCGTTGCTGTCAGAATCTTCATCCAGCTCAGGTGTGTCGGCCCGGTCTGGCTCCTGACGTGGCTCTTCTGGTATCAGCTCATCCTGTTCGTCCTCGTTCGGACTTGTATCTGCCTCTGAAGGACTTGAACTGGCTTCTACTCCGTCCGCTCCTTCTTCTTGCGCTCCCTTGTTCATCTTGTCCTTGCCAGCTCCTTTTGCTTTCTCTCTCGACTCAGGACGCCTTGATGAAGGGTGGCTGAAAACACGATTCTGGTTTCCTCTCCAGTCAGTATCAGCTTCTCTACTTGGCGGCTTCTGCAACCGGCCCAGGGCAATCATCTTTGCAGTTGGAGGCGGCGTGCGAGCTCTGTACTGTCGAGTTGGGTGACCTTTGCCTCTACCTTTGCCTTTTCGCATGCGATACTCTTCGTCTAAAGCCTCAGCTGTAGAATTGCACTTCGCAGCAGCAAAAAATGCACAACATTGCAACATGATCTGCTTGCCTCAAAAGATTGTGTCAGCGCACCATGCTCCTGCGACGTTTTGCTTCAATTCAAACTAGAAACCATTCTGGCACCATATCATGTCCTGCTGCATTTCTTCATAGACCTTGCAAAAGTCAAAAGGAATCGTGATTGATTAGAAAAAACATGAATTGGCCACTGGCCATGGCACGCCTGGCGGTAGTCCAGGTGCGCTTGAATCAGCAGCTCAGCAGACTCAAGCTGCTCGCTGAGGCCAATGACCTCCAAAGCCTCCGATTCCGGTGCATGACGAAACACGAATCAAACCTGCTCAGCTGCACAACGTATTTGCAAACTGTATCACACTGTATTCGTTCCGCCACAAGCTCGTTGGAAGGTTTGCGAGAACATGTGGCCGCCGTGATCGTGCAAACTCTGGTAATGGTACAATGGAGGGACAGATTCAAACCACGACCAGCTCTGTTTCTTCTTTCTGGAACACTCGTGGGGTGAATGGGTCTACACGATGGAAGTGTTCTCAACCATCGGCTGGAAATGTGGAAGGCAAAGAGTGTGGGAAGGGAGGTTCAAACACAATCAACGCATGCATAATGCATTGGAGGAAAGTCAGCTTGAACATCCTGTGGACTACTGCTGGTCAGAACGCACTGTTACTTGTTGCAGTTGAACACATTCACAACTAGTCTCACAAAGACCTATCACAATAGTGGCATGTTGCAATGACATGCCTGAAGGTATGCGCTCCCTGCAAAAGAGGATTTGGATGGATTTGGGCTCATATCTTGGAGTGCAGGATTTCTTCGGTTGAAGTTGATGCCGTTGATAAATAAAGACACATAAACGCCGTGATGGGTCGAGACCTTCCAGCGATGCAGCTGTTAACAGCTGAACTTCGACGTGTCACTACGATGGTTGCTGCCTGCACCGTTCATCCACTTGTGTGAATGGATCGCACGCCTTTCTATTCTGTAGTTTTGTGGAGTCACTCGGGCCATCTCGGGCCACTATTCCTGTCTTGTCTGCCCACCTGTGCACTCTCTCTCGCGCCTGATTTCTGCAAGAATTTGTGGAACTGAAGCAAGAGGCTTCATCTCTCATGCCGTGCAGTGGCTCATTGGCTTAAGCCACATTGTTAACGCTTATTAGCAGCCTGCGGATTACCCATGGTCTCGGAGTCAGATGTGGGCGAACTCCTGCATCTGCATATGCACACAGTTGCCGCAACTGTCGGCTTGACCCTGCCGCACTGCTCTAGAAACCCGCAATAGGATGCATCGAAGACGAAGTCAAGCCTGCGAGTAAGGATCAAAGCGAGCGCTGAGCAAGCCAACCTGCTCAGGGTCACCAGGGAACACAAATGGACATGAAGAGTTGTTGGGTGATGAGATATACAAGTTTTTGTAAGCTCATTTGCAAGTTTGATCAAAATGCATCGACCCCACGGATATTAACGCTTGAGTCGTCTATCATAATTGAAAGGGCATGATGCCAATTTGCCAATGTGTATCAAATCAACATTAACCAAGCAATTGGGGGTTGAATGGCCAGTTGTCCAGCTTTCTCAGTTGTCCTAAAACCTAAAATAATCTAAACTAGTTAATTATTGAAGAGCCCATCGGCTGAAATTGCCCTGGTTCTTGATTCGACGTGAACCCTCCTTTTCTACAACTGTTCCAGTCCCGATGCGCAGCCGCTCTCTTTTTGACAGCGAAAGCAATTTTGAAGCTTGGTCAGCGCTCTGCCTGCCCAAAAAAGTGGTCAAATTGTCCACCAAAAGATTGTGATCACAGTGAGTGATCACCCTTCTGGGTACTGAAGCACAAACCAATCGCATGATGTTGAATGTGTGTAGATCGTGGTGCTGTGGGCTGCGACGCGACGTGCTATGCACGAACCTGGCTCAAAGGATCTCAAAGGCATGTCTTCACAATTCCATTCTACTGTGATAGCCGTGAGTCTTTACTACCAAGCAGAATCCATTCTTTACATTATGCCAGATGTCCAATTGCGTGCAACACGGTCTCCTCCTCAAGCTCCTGGCGCTGCTTATCTGCCTCTCCGCGCAAGCGAGCTGTTTCTGACTCTGACAGGAAGTCTGCTCAGAAGCCTCACGCTCTCGAGCATCTGCTGCTGCGGCTAACTCGTCCACTTTCAGAATCTTGGCCTTTCAGGGAGCGCAAGCTGAGAGCAAAGTCTCCCAATAAGCGCAAGGCGCAAAACACCAGTCAGACTTGACAGTCAAGACTCTCAAGCTCAATTAGTCTCAATGGCCGGATTTCACAGCAACCTTCCAGGTTCTGAATGCACTCAAACATTTTATACAACATGTGCTTCAAACACCGACCGGAGATTGTCTCTTGCCTGCGACTCTGCTCTGGCCTAAGCTCGAAGAAACTGAGGTGCGGAGTTTCTTAACTGTTCTGACGCTCCGGCTTTCATCTCTTCCCTCTCCAACTCCTGAGTATGTTAGAGGATTCTTCCCAATCCCTGCAACTGATGCAAGTGGTTCGAATAATTATTGCAAGGTCCTGTCCTGCTTTTGAATTCGAGCCTTTTCACGGTCTCTTCTTTCAAATTCCTCCTGAGTTGCCTGCCATGATGGCTCCAGGGAAAATGCACAACGCAAGCAAAGCAAGTTCAAGGCAATGTGGCCACGTCATGTTTCATTACTTGTTCAGAGCTTTGCATCCCATCAACCGTTCTCTTGAATCCCCGCTCTGCTCACTGCGCTACGTCTCCCGTGCCTTCTCACCCAATCTAAAAAGCCACTCTTGCTCTTCAGGCCATTCCTATCAGACTCCCACAGCATACCGGCTGTTAGATAATATCTGGCTTGCTCTGTCCTGCTTGAAGTCCCGCAAAGCACAAGCTGTTTCTTCGGAAATAAATGCATTCCTTCTCGCAGCGCTTGCCGGAACACTGGGCATGCGGAGTCACCAATTATTCTCTGTTCCCAGTTTGTTTATGTTGCGGCAAAAAGTGAAGTATTGCAACTAGTTACTCCACATTTGTAGCTAGGTACTAGGTACTATCTTTCATCATAAATATGGAGCCGTTTCTTGGTGTTTGATTCAGAACAAAAATGAGAACAACATGTCAGCGCACACCGGTCCAAATATCAACGCAGTTCACGAAAGAGACCGGCCTTGCTTCTCAAGTCTTCATGCATGCAAGCTGGGAAGCTGCTCAAACTCCAACCATCTACTGTATCCATGCATCATGCATCCTCTTCCTTAGCCTGTTGAAATACGCGTACTCCGATACTAGGGCCAGGGCTTGCAAAATAGCTTGACCTGGGTCATCTGGGAAGAATTATATATAATATATATAAGAATTGACACAAGCCAAGTCTCTATTTAGTTTGTTCTTGTACTGATGCACAAAACTGCGGCTATGAGTGTCCAATCCAAGTGGCTTGAACCGCCGAGTTGAGATTGAAGTTCTGAGGCATATTCTCTGGCAGTGCCTTAGTAATTTCTTCTTCTAATCATGTCTCTTGAACCCCAGCCAGCCTGCAAACTAGCTGCCGCTAAGAGGCGCAAAGAGGTAGCTTATGATCAGCAAACCAAGTCTCCCACGTCCAGGGTTTGACCTTGGGTTTCCAGAACGTGAGCCAATTTTTATCAAATGTTGGTGATGAAAAAGGCCAATCACCTTCCGAGTTCTGGGCTGCACCGTTGAAATGCAACATCTTACCCTTATCCGAGCACATCCTGAGCTGCTGATTTATGAACATTGCTACGTATCAGTTCAGAGGCCAGTTCAGCACATATTGCAACTACTTGTACAGATATAGTATTGGTTACTATATAATGCTACAAACATCCCTGGACTGTTTGGATGCAGGAGGAACATATATAGCCTCTAGTTAGCAAGTCTGAGGGCCAATCACTACGAAGGGGTCCACGCCCCCGTCTTCAGTGAACACAGCACCGAGTTTGCGCACTGCCTGACAACTGCATGTTTTACCACCTCTGAAGAAGTGCACAATGTCTAGTCTATCTGGTCTTCAGGGAATCTTCACCAAACATTGAACAACCACTATTTGCAGGTGCGCGCCGCATGGTCGAAGCCATTATCCCGTAAAAATAAGGCCTTCAAAATCTGCAAAGAGACATACAGCCATTTCCTTTCGCCACTGTGCTTGTGACTTTTGGCCTCCGCATAAGGCATTTTCTCACGGCCCAAAGAGTTGCAGTTCCACCTGAGTGGGAATCGAGAGTCAATGGTCAAAGAAATGCAGAAGGCACACACACACACACTCACAGGGCTAAGCGGCTCATCACCTAGGTCCAGAAAATCATCTCCCATTGCAAGGAGCCATGGTGGCTGCGACCTCACAGTTGCCAAGCTTAGCTGAACTCTGCCTTCAGCACCTTCAGCCAAAGCTGAGATCCAAACACCCCGCTCTTCCACAGAACTCTCTTTGATTCTGCATATCTCTGCATCCTGTGCATTAAATTGAATACTTTTCGATCTTTTCGAGGACTAGTGGAGGACTACAATGAAAGAGCTACGCTCTGACTCACTAACATGAAAGTTGAAAATGGTCCCTTGGAAAACTCCTTTCCTTTACAAACAGGGTTTTTCCCACTTCCATGTCAGTGAGTCGGAGTGTAATTATTCGTTCTGACCTGTTTCGGCTCTAGTGTTGCACAGTCCTCATCTGCGACTTAATTCTTACAATTTTGACTTATTGCAGTTTGCTTCGGTTCAAGCATCAAGTTCACTTCAGTTGACTGTGGACTGATCTGCACCCAGGCGCACCACATCTCGATTTGCTCTGTGATCTGGAGCTCATGCCATCTTCGGACGTCGATGACGAGCAACCCTCTGTTGGCAATGCAGGCCTCCAGAAGGTAATAAAGTGATACTGCAGGGATTCAAGTGATATGAAGCTCCTGGACCTTCCTGAATGTTTAAGAAGTGCAGCAATGCACAAATATCCACAGACTCACTTGAGTATTACCCGACACAAATGACTGATAATGACACAGTAAGCAAATCAGTGGCCATGTCGATGAATCAAACTCCTTGACAACGGGCACCCGACAGGTACTCTTTGATCTCCAAAGTTACAAGTAGACTCAACAACCACCAGCCTTCGGGTCGTGATTTTGAATGTATCCAAGCTCTCCTCAACCATTGGAAATTCAACGCACCAGGCGACTTCCGAAGCACAAACAACTAGCTAGATACATATATAAGTCCCATGACTCCATGACTGTCAATCTAAAGTTTGACCCTGCCTCACTCACTTAAAACAAATGTATAGTCTAGTCTAATTATAGAAAATCACCATGGCAACGCTGTTTCCAAGAAGTCACCCCCCCAGTCACCCCCACTAATCCCATTGGAACGCTGATGCCCAAACAAGATCTTTCACACAAAAAAGCAGACCTAAAGAGTGCAAAAACCAATGGAACGCTAGTTCTAAAAGAGTTGATTTAATTTGATTTACATCTGCTTGCAGCATGTCAATCCCAATGGAATGCTGTAATTAGAAGTTCACCAACTTTAGTCACATCAGGTGACTCGAAAAGAACTAATCTGCAAGTAGTGGCCTGATGTGATCGGGTCACATCAGGGTCACATCAGATCCCTGTTTACAAGGCGTTTGCGGATTTTCTACCGATTGAAAGCTAAGTTAGGGTTTTGTATCAAATAACTTCCAATATCTTCCAATTATATACACTGTGCAAGCAGCCAAGCAGTACCAGCAGCAGCTAGTGTTTTGCATGTGTTGACTAAGACTGCACAGACCTGACATCATCCCCAGATCCCTTTCCAACCAACAGAGTTAGCTTGTGTTTGTGTTTGGGAAAAAGGGACGACTTTCCGCAAAGCCTTCCCCCCAAGGCAGGGTAGCAATACCTCAAAAAAAGTGACGACGTTGTCTTTTGAATGTACCGTCTAAACCTGGAAATAGAAACATTGAACATGCAACAGAATCAAACTCAAACGCAACAGGGTTTCATCCCAGGACTGACACCATTACCCTGTGAATAGCACACACCTCAGAAGGTGAATATGAAAGCCAGCTGGTGGATGAGCAAATATCGAAGAACACGAAGGTGCGATATGTAGATTGCGGGCGCTCAGGTTAATCAGGTAGTCGAGGTAGTTGATAGCAACAAGAAGCTACTAGGGGCCAGGACGCTACTAGGAGCAAAGGGCATCGCTACTAGGAGCAAAGGACTCTGTGTGGTGTTTGGGCCTGTACTGTACTGCAATCAAAACGGAGCTGTGCAAAGTGTGAACGGAAAACAAACACGTTTGTTTTGACTTCAGGGTTTGCTTCCAACCTATCCAATCCTCACCTTGTTCCACCCCACGGCACCACTGCCTTAGATCCCATCCCATAAACTCCATAGCATGCCATCCATCCACATCCCATAGCCCCATACAGCGCCCATCTATCCATCCCATCCTTGCGTCCATCCATCAATCGATCCGTCCGGCTCTTCGTCGATCCATCCCTTCCATAGCATCCATCCATATCCATAATCCACCCCATCCCCAAAAAACTTTCATCACCAGCATCACCAACTCCCACCCTTTACAAACAGCATCTAATTGCCACGGATTGGCCCCCTTGAAGCACAACCCCAAGACCCCTCGAACTCACTTCGCTGCAAACATGGAACTTCAGCCTAGCGTGCTGGCTGGTTAGCATAATTACTCGGGAAAGGGATGACCCAACAATCTTCGAAGAGTGTGTCTCTTCAAAAAATCAAACGGTGGTTTGTTTCTGGCAACACAACTGTCAAAAAATGAGTCGATGAGTGGTAGGTTTGGAGACAACATAAGCCGACACCTGCAGCAAGCTTCACTATACACGCCATGCATGCCAAATTCCATACTGTGTGTGTGTGACGCTTCACTGGAAAATATATAGCGGAAACACCGGCAGTTGTTGAACTGAAGACAATGATCATAAACACTATACCATCATATCATCAAGAAATGCAACCTAGGTTCTGAGAACACTGAAATCAACGTACTTTTCAAGCGATTGCAGACCTTGGCAAGGGCCCAAAAGAAAGGGGGGCTTGATGACGGACAGAACTGCACAGAATTTCATGGGGTATCCGTGTGAACATGGAGGCAAACAAAATTTTGAGTGAGCAGTGGCTCAGCTTCTTACAGTACTTCACTGCGGCGCAAGGGTGACCTTGAAGGTCAATATCCTCCAGAGTCAGAACAAGAATTCAGTGGCTTTGTCAGCCCGCTCTGAGGGTGGTTGATCGGCACTTAGGTCCTGCAACTCGCCAAGGTCACCCATAATCACCGTGTCGGTATCCAAATAGATCAACCTTGGCGCGGAGTGTTGTACGGTTGCCGTGAGTGTTGTGCAGTCAGACTGCACCACCTCTACCAAAAATGCATCTTGGAAGACTGTGGCGCTCTTCGCTTTCAGCGTTTGTCATCCAAAAGGGGGCGCAGGAAAAGGGACGCCGGCCTGCTCACTCTGTGGGTCAAAACTCGGAACCAAAACCTGGTAGTGTGACCTCTCCCTCGTAGTCTGATCTCATAAGAAGACAGCAGCCAGGCTCGCCCCAGACCCCAAGAGCCCCCAAAAGGCAACAAACTCACGTCCCCAATTGAACAATGTGGCAGGGCACCAGTAAGGCATCTGTAGAAGATCACGGCCTATACACTTGGCAGCCCACGATTAAAGAACGTCAGAAACAGCTATGTTGAGTAATTAAAGGCAACATGCGTCCAATCATAGAATTTGGTACTGTACTCCGTGCACCACTTGTGACAAAAGAATCTCAGGAAAGGTCACCATGACATTCTCATCGCACTTCCAACGCAAAGCACTTGGGAAGGAAAGAAGCGTCCGTCAATCTTCATCTTCAAGCCCAGTGGGGAGGCGACAAGGCCAGAACATGACACACAGGGAACTGTGCAATCTCCGCCGTAAGAGAAGAATGACCGTAAACCAGAGGATAGTAATGGATACTAAAGAAGCAACCGACCCGCGATCCTGTTGAGATCGATTTACACAAAGCAAAAAGGCTCCACAAGAGAACAGCTGATCCTGTAGGGTGTTGGGCTGGGTAAATCTGCTTGGACTAGCCCCAGCATGAATACTGTTTCATACTGTTTCCATTTACCTCCTTTGTCAAGAAGGCATTGGACAGCATGTCGGTCCAGTTGATATCTACATCATTGGTACCAAACAACTGAGTAAAAGGAAAACTGTGATCCCAAGGTGGCCCGAAGTGGTCGATGTTACTTGTCATACAAGTCAATATTGGTCGACAACATGCTTTCGAAGGAAGAGCAATTCTCTCTGACAAATGAAGACAGGCCCAACTATTTTGAAGACGGTCTATGACTGTGTACAGGCCATTCTCGCTCGGTTGATTGAGTTGGCAATGTGCACAATGAACCTGGAGAGATCAATGCATTCTGCACCTCATTGGATTAGTGGTAGGCGAGCGAAAGAGCGAGTTCAGCAAGGCCGATCCACAAATGTCGTGCTCCGGTTGACAAAGAATTATGATGACCTGGCAAGTGACTTGCCGGCCGCCCACTGGTTGAGGAGCCTGTCAAGTCATTCTCAAGGACTGTGAGTCCTACGCAGAAGGCCACATGAAATGAGCCTGCAAGAGCGGTATGTGCGTGTTTGTACACCTTGGAACCGCAAACGCATGCCAACGAAGCTATGTGTGATGGCGCAAGACCTGGTGTACCTGCTGATGATACTTCCCATTCCCTCATCCCAGTTGTAACTAGGACTAGAACCAAACTTCTCTTTCGGCTTTGGTTTTGCTGTAAAGTGCTGCAGAGCTCCGCAGTCATGCACTTGTCGATATAGAGTCTTGCGAGTTGGTCGAGACTTGACACTCTTGGACCCTTTGAGGTGAGACCGCTTTACATGTTACATGTTGTACTGGCAATTCGTTCACTTAATTAGGCTTCTTCAGGGCAAGTGGCTTTCAATTCAGTACGCACTTCCCAAGTCTTGGTTAGGAACAAGCCCCAAACACAGCAGAATCCAACCCTGGGCAAAAGGGCCGTTTTGAGCGGAATATGGCGATGTTGTGGCAACTCATCTACACATTCAGAACAAATTTTAATCGGTTGGCAAATGGTGCATTGCTTGACAAATTCTATAAACACAGCCCTGGCAACACTCAAGACCTTGATATCGTCCGCCTTTCGACAAGGATTGACGCGGTGGAGACATTGTAGAGATGACATTGGCATGCGGCTGTACTGCGTGCAAGATGGTTTGATCTGCAATGTGAGCCAAACTCACATGGTTCATCTTTACACCAAAGATCTTGCGAGGCTGCAAGGGCCTCTTGAGTGCATTGCAGTCAAGTTTCTTTGACCACATGTCTGTCCCTTGCAAATAGAAGTCAATATGCGTCCGCACTCCACTTGCCACACCGGGAAATCGCTCCAGAGAAGAAGAGTCCCATGACAGCGGCCCTGGCCAAAGTCACATTTTCCAAAGATGCTTATTCACTTGCTTGAAGTCTTGAAGTTTCCAGCACACACGAAGACATCTCCAGGCATCAAGTTCGAGAAGCGAGAGCGAAAAAAGCCCAGGATGACCATTTCACACTCAGCCGTGCCCGTGCCAAAACAGAAGCCGTTGGAGCGAAAAGCCCAGGGACACGTGCTTGGCAGGGCTCACCCAAGCAGCCCACCAAATCATCCAAAGCAATGGCTAGTCCAACAAAGGTCTGAGGTCAAGCAAGTGGCCTTGTGTAGAAGGTGGCCACCAGCAGTGGTGATGCCCTCCCCACCAATGAAGGTGACAAAAGGGCCCTGCCCAAGTGGGGTGGGAGGCACGGGCCTTTAAGGCCAAATGCCTCGTAGTCTATTCCCTTCATTTTTGGTGGTCAACTAGGGGAACCCCATAGCTAAATCATGACTCATGATTGGAATCCGCAATGCCACCTAGGCCTTGGCGTTGCCTTCGTCGGAACCTGAGGAAGCTGAGGATTTGGCCGAGCAGGTGGGCGGCCATCGATGCCTGCAGTGACCCAATCGACTTGGCCGAAGTTGTTGGTCAGTTCATGTCAGTTCTCTGTGTTGTTGCATTTTTCCCCACATAAAGCTTCTACCAGTACACGTTGATTTAAGAGGCTTGCTTGACTGGTTCTTGCCGGCAGTGCAAGTGGTACAGAATGACTCGCATCCATTTTTGGAGGCAAAAAAGACTTGCCAGCTATGCTGACGTACTGGTCGAGATAGAAAGGCCTGGACATTCGATTTGGCATGAAGAACCTCCTTTAGAGCAAAAGCAAGAGCACTTGTTTGCTTACTGCAATCAAAACACATCTCGGATCTGGGATGCTGGCACAAAGTTGAAGACGCTAGTAAGGCCCTTTCGAACCTGGGGAAGCACGACACTGGAGTACCCGAAACAAACATACGAGACGATGCTTACGTGTAGAGCATGTGCGCAATACATATCGCTAAAGGTTAAAGGGGTCTGGACTGCTGACCAGAAAGAAGACACCGCTCAATCTAACAACGCTCACACCACCAAACCTAGTACTTGCAAGCAGTGATTTCTCGCTCCTTTGAACAGGAAGGTTGATCTACTCCTTGGAAGCAAATAAACCCTGCGACAGGCACTCGTGATTTGCACCGAGTCCAGGCTTTCGCACTTTTGCGGTTTTGCCACGGCCAGGCAGTTGGTTCCTGCCCAGTTGGCATTGATGTACAAGCATTTGCAACCACAGCGCATGCTGGGACACCAACCCAATGCGGTCTTGCACATTCTCGTCGGCATGTACCTGATTTGCACGTGATTCTCATACTATATAATCAGCTTTGGCAAGGTCATGGTCTTTCCGAGTTTGATGCAAATTCGGCATCCAGGCATACTTGTCAGTACTCACCCAGTCCAAAGGCCCCCGCTTCTACAGGGATGTCGGCAAGATGCACACCTAGTGCGATCCACGTGAACTGTATAAAGACTCGTTAATCAAATAGAATTCAGTTTATATATATATATATATTATAGCTTCTTCACTGTGCTGAGGCTTGAAAGCTGTCCGCTGTTCGCCACGACAGCGCCCGTGAAAGCACACTGAGGTTCACACGGAAAAGATCACGCACTGTGGGTGCCTCAGAGTCTCCAACAACGAGGAAGGGGCCCGTTCAAGAAGTACCCAGCCCATAGCTGTTCCTACAAGTAGATCCAATCTGTTGTTGACGTTTTGGTAGAAGGACAGCTCTCAGGATGTGATGCCGGTGTGTACTGCTGGCAATATTTAACATGGTGGGACCACTGCATGATAGAATTGGCGCAGCATCTGTGCATCATATTGGCATACTTCAATGATACTTGTCTTTACATGTGGTGCAACACATAAATAGCCAAACCCTCTGTATATACCTGTTGCACAAAACAAGCTCAGCAAACAAGTCGTAGTCGTGAAGTCAACAGTCAACAATGAGAATAGGATACCGTCACCTTGTTCTTGAATTGCCGATTCGTGAGTCTCTCTGCAAAGTGAGTTAAAGAGAACCAGGAATCTAATAGCGATCATGGCATCCGTCCTATATGTACGGGAATCATAATATAGTATTCTTGTTTGCCTAACATGCCAAAAGCACTTCGGGTTATATAGCTTATACTCGTTTACAGATGTTTTCAGTATGT